CCCAGCCGCTCCTCCCCAAACCTGTGGCATCCATGGGGTTGTTGTGACCCCAGGGCAGGACCCTGGGCCTTGGGGACCCTCACCCAGTTGACCTTGACCCCGTTGACCTTGGCCATCGACCATGGTTGGCCACCGTCTCCATCCCAACCCCATAGGCAATGATGCCCCGGTGGGGACCGTACCTGACTCCAGGGCCTGGCTCTGCTCACTGGTGAAACTGGTCCTGCTCCGGTACTGGGTGCTGGGTGCTGGGAGCCCTCTGCAGGATTTTGGGTGCTGGGTGCCCGGTGAGGTGGTGGCCCCATTTTCAGGGGGTGAGTGATGTGGGGCAGCAAAAGGGGACACTGCAAGGATGGGAAGGGACAAATAAGGGGGATGTGGGGCTGGGCGGGGGAGGCAGGAGAGGTTGGGGGTCAGGGAGGGTCGTGGAGCCCCCTCCAGAGCTCACCCCATGGCTCCGTGTCCCCCACAAAGCCCCCCAGGTCGTGGGGAAGGGTCCTCAGCACCCGGCGGATGGAGGAGACCTGGGAGGGAGAGATGGGGGTGGGGGTGCAGGAAAATCGGGGAGACATAGGGGGGCAATGGGGCTGAGCCAAATCCACCCCATTCATCCCAGTTATCCCCATCCCATTCATCTCAGTTATCCCAATTATCCCAGTTATCCCATCCCATCCCTCCCATCCTTCCCGGTTATCCCAGTTATCCCCATCCCATTCATCCCAGTTATCCCCATCCCATTAATCTCAGTTATCCCAGTTATCCCCATCCCATTAATCTCTGTTATCCCATTTATCCCAGTTATCCCCATCCCATCCATCCCAGTTAACCCCATCTCATTCATCTCTGTTATCCCAGTTATCCCAGTTATCCCAGTTATCCCCATCCCTCCCATCCATCCCAGTTATCCCAGTTATCCCCATCCCATCCATCCCAGTTATCCCAGTTATCCCATCCCTCCCATCCCTCCCATCCATCCCATTCATCCCAGTTATCCCAGTTATCCCATCCTTCCCATCCATCCCAGTCATCCCAGTTATCCCATCCCATCTCACCCCATCCCATCCCATCCCAGTTATCCCAGTTATCCCCATCCCATCTATCCCAGTTAACCGCATCCCATTAATCTCTGTTATCCCAGTTATCCCATCCTTCCCATCCATCCCAGTTATCCCAGTTATCCTATCCCTCCCATCCATCCCATCCATCCCAGTTATCCCCATCCCATCCATCCCAGTTATCCCAGTTATCCTATCCCTCCCATCCATCCCATCCATCCCAGTTATCCCCATCCCATCCATCCCAGTTATCCCAGTTATCCTATCCCTCCCATCCATCCCATCCATCCCAGTTATCCCCATCCCATCCATCCCATTCCATCACATCCATCCCAGTTATCCCCATTCCATTCATCTCTGTTATCCCAGTTATCCCATCCCTTCCCATCCTATCCTATCCTATCCCATCCCATGCCATCCATCCCAGTTATCCCCATCCTATCCATCCCAGTTAACCCCATCCCATTCTTCTCAGTTATACCCATCCCATCCCAGTGATATCCCAGTTATCCCCATCCCATCAATCCCAGTTATACCCATCCCATCCTTCCCAGTTATCCCATCCCTTCCCATCTCATCCCATCCCATCCCTTCCCATCCATCCCAGTTATCCCCATCCTATCCCTCCCATCCATCCCAGTTATCCCCATCCCATCCTCCCCAGTTATCCCCATCCCATTCATCTCTGTTATCCCAGTTATCCCAGTTATCCCCATCCCTTCCATCCATCCCAGTTATCCCAGTTATCCCATCCCATCCCAGTTATCCCCATCCCACCAATCC